GGGTCGGGTCGGGCGGGCGGGCCCTAACGGGCGGGTCAGGTCGGGCGGGCGGGACATTAAAGTATGTTGCGTAATCGAATGGGCACGCGAGTGCCCTAACGGGCGGGACGGGTCGGGTCGGGCGGGCGGATCCTAACGGGCGGGTCGGGTCGGGCGGGCGGGACATTAAAGTACGTTGCGTAATCAAATGGGCACGCGAGTGCCCTAACGGGCGGGCCGCCCGGTTCCGACCCGCCCGCCCGCCGCCCGCCGCCCGGCCGCCCGGCCGCCCGCCGCCCGCCGCCCGCCGCCTGCCGCCCGGTTCCGACCCGCCCGGTTCCGCCCCGCCCGGTTCCGACCCGCCCGGTTCGGACCCGCCCGGTTCGGACCCGCCTAGAGAGCGCTGCCACATGGGACATCGTGACGGCGGAACAAGGCCGGCCGGACGGAACAGGGCTGGTCGAAACAGGGCCGGCGGAACAAGGCCGGTCGGAACAGGGCTGGTCGGAACAGGGCCGGTCGGAACAAGGCCGGTCGGAACAGGGCCTGGTCGGAACAGGGCCGGTTCCATATATGTATGGGCGCTTTCGGAAACCCTAACCTCAACAACGCTTTCATCTCTTGGGGGCACATTCTCTACTTCCGCCGGCTTCCGCCGGCAAAGGCTGCCTCGTTTCGCTTCCGCCGACCTTCCGCCCTTCCGCCGCCTTCCGCCGAGGAAGAGACGACAACTCCTTCGACCCTCGACGGCAAGGCAATTTTTAGAACGCCCTACAAAGGTACGAGCCTTACAGACAAGCTGTGTAGAGAAATTCCTACCCCTGGTCCCTCTCCGACAACGACTGCTCCTAATGCCTGATACTGCTGCTATTTCTGCCACACATGGACCTCCTTCGACCATCACGTATGCGTCGACCGAAGCCACCACTGCTACTGCGACTGCTTCCTCACTGTTAAAATCAAGAGGCTCACTCAGGCACCACATCACTGCGTTCTTGCTTCGTGCTGCGACTCAGCCCTGAGACGAAACAGCAATGCGTCCCATCTCGGAGTTTTGCGTATCGTTCACCAGATAGGTTCAAGAACAGACCTGCCTCGTTCGCGCAAGTCGTACGCCTGTGGGGGTGCGGATGCAGAACCCCTCGCTTACGTCTGCAATCTCCCAAACGGATTGGTCCCAGAGGGCCTCTTGGCACGAGGGCATTCCGGTCTTTGAGATGTCACTTGGTTGTGGGGATTGGCACGCGACGGGGGCTTGCTTCCAAAGTCCTAGGCAGCCACTCGTTTGTGAGAGGATGTCTCCTGCGAGCTTTCTTCTTGAACGAATGGACAGCATCATATCCCTGTTGGGCTCGTGGAAAGGGGAAGATGTCCAACGGCTGTAGTAGTGGTGGCGTGGTGATGGTTGCCATGGGATCGGCAGTGGTGGTGCTAGGCTTTCCCAACGCGTCGAAGGGATACGAGGAAAGCGATAAGAGAACACAAAGACTAGGCAGAGGAGAACCGACTCGATCCCTCTCGCCGTAAATACTGATTCAAGCCGCACCTCCCTCCTCATTACGAGAAAACGGATACAGTGGGCAGAACGGATCGATGAGGAAGGCGTGGGCGGACATGTTTCGGTGGACGGGGGCGCAGCAAGAGACGGGATACAACAGGAGGCGTGCTAGAGTAGAGAAGAGTTCGAAGCGACATCGTGCAAATGACAATGACATAATAAGTTACGTATTCGACGGTCAACGTCGCAAGGCAAATTACCGCCTTGGCAATCTCTTGGTAATGCGATGTCAAATTCGCTATTAGCTTCTCCTTCTCCTTTCCCTGCGCGCGCGCCATTCTGCTCACGCCTGTCCCCGCAAGGTTGCCGCTGACAAGATGTCGGTTCCGTGCATGGCACAACCTTCGGATAAATGGCCGACAAAGGAAAAACACTGATGACTCGCTGTGCACCAGCATCGGATGGACTGGGCGGATGGACTGGGACCACCAGCCTGTTTATGAGTCTTACCACGCAGCCATAGTGTTGCAAACAACTGGTGCAACCACCGAACCGAATTGACGACTGGCGGACCTCTGGAGATCCGGGCTTCCCGTCCGTGACCGTGCGTTTGCACGTTGCTTCTGCTACCCAGCGTCCCCCTCCCTTCCCTGTTTATTGTAAACCAACCCCGGGCAGAACCTGAGCCCCCAACTGGCAGTGCGCTCTCGGATTGCGCATGCTCCTGATCCTTTTCCTCCACCATCTCCCCATCACCCTCATCATATCACTGACCTCGCTCAAACTACTGGTTTTGCCCATGCTTTCGTCCAGTCTCCATATCCCAAGCGATGTCGTGGAACGGCATCGAGGCGCGACCCATGCGTCTCACACTTTACGCGCGTATTTGCCGATCCCCTTCGATATCACTTTGCGCAATCATTATCATATCCACATTCCGTGGTAACTACTTTACTCCGCCCGCTAAGACAGACATCAACCTTGAAATAGCGAATCGAAAATACACACATACACACCGTTCGTTCTGACACACTTGCCAGCGCTGTTGATGCTTTACATCTCTGGCAGTCTTCTCGCTTCTTGAAGGGGGGAATTGTCGGGGGGACCAGCTCAGGGGGGGAAATCTCGAGCTTGCATCGGCGATATATCTCCGATCGATCGGCGAAAGGCCCCCGACAGCGAAACCGAGCTTTCCTGGGCGGGGTGAGTATTCGGGCCCCTGTCAACGATGAATGGGCGTTTGGGGCTGGATGTATCCACCCTGATCGTATCCTCTGATGTTGCCCATTGTCGCCTCTGGAGAAAATAAACAGACACCGATACCGCTACTCCCAACGGCCCTGTGCCCAGTCAAATTGCCGAGGGCGAAGGCCAACCGCCACAGCGTAAGTCACACGCGCGCAGATTGTCCTGGGACGTCGGTTGCGCTGGTTTCTTTCTCGAGCTGGCTGTTGCATCGTGAAAGGACCGTGGACTGATCCCTCGTACAACAGATGAGACGCGCGAGTGAATGTGTCTGGAACTCTCATGCTCTCAGCTGCCCAGAGACAACTCAATCAACCCCTCGGTGATCTTGACTTGATATCATTCTTCCACAAGCGTTTAGCTTTTGTGCTCGTCGTCACTCGTCCATCGGCAACAATGGTGCGAGCTCCCGCGAAACTGTCATTGGCGCATCACCCGCTCGCCTACGTTTCAAATATGTCGCCACTGGCTGAATAAGCACGTCACATCATTGAAAGCAGATCGAGTTGGTCAAGCTGTCCTTCCATCATACTCGGCCCGTTGCTGACTCGACACAGGCGCGGACTCATGCTGCGGGGAGGAGCTTTAACCACAACGCGTGAAGGGTTCGAAGGAGGCAAGTTCAGAAACGACGAGAACGGTGGCCTGGGTGTGCTCTAAATTCCATTGGGCAGTATGCCTACATGGCAATGCTTGTCCCAAGAGAACGATCCGAGTGTGAATCTCCCCCTCTTCAGACAATCATTGAATAAAGCCGCGCTGCCTTCCCGAACATTGTCGGCATCTTTCTTTTGAGATGGTCTAAGATGTAAGCATGCACCTGCTGGGAAACGCGCAAATTCCGAGGACCCGGTAAAGACACGCATGCCTACCGCCCCTCCCAACCTCACGACTGCTGCAATGGACATCTTCGCGATAAACAAAAAGAGCCAAAGCGAGTAATCAGACGATGGTTTTGAGCAGCGAATTGTGAGCTGAGCAGTAAACTATCTGGAGACCAGGCTTGCGTGGATGATGTAGCTGACAGCTTTCGCCTGCAACCGATATTATACGTAGAACCCGTCGTCACGAATGTAACTCTATCTGTGTTCAAGTCAAGAGCGTGTCGCTTCTGTAGGCAGCGAAGAACAAACGCGCCCCATGCACGACCTCTGATCTAAACAAAGACAGGTCACACCCTCACAATGTTCGTATCACCCCGTCAAGAACTGTAGACCAACAGCCAGTGACACACTGGTGGGGCTCACCAACATAAATTGCAGGCTTACTCTTGGCGACTGCACCCAAGCAAAGACTGTGTCCTTCCGGTAACGGGTAGACCCGAGGGAGCAACACACACACACATGCACAAATACAAACCAATGCTGAGGCGGACATGCCCTCGAGCGCGCAGCCTCCGCGTGTACAACTCATCCTGAGGTGCATGCGCGCACGCCTGTGCATCTACGTGAGCCGGTGGGTAACTCCATGTATGTCCGCACGTTCTACCATTACGTTAAGAATGCACATGCGCACACTCAGGCACGCATGAATCAATAACCGAGATCATATGACAGAGATGCACCTTGGCTAATCTGGCTCTCTTGATCAAGTCGTTCAACTTCCTGCGCGCCCATTATGACATCACACCCTGCTCCCCGTGAAGGTTTTGGCCTGGACCCTTGGGATCGAACACGTGGTTGCACCAAATAACATGTAAGCTGTGACGGATCATACGTTTGTCGTTTGAAGCACAGCGTAGACATCGATCTCCGAAAAACAATACATCTCTATGAGGCGATCCCCCCGCGAGGGTCCCATCTGTGCACACCACTCCGCTGCCAGGGCCTCTTCGGTGCACGCTATCCTCAAGGTGGGGGGTGGCGTGAAATAATGGGGCCAGCGGCGCCACATCGCACGTAACCTCTGCAACGCCAAACTTTATCGTCCTTTCTAGTGCTATCCTGTCTGGCGCCTGTGTACTTCCAACCGCTCGCATCATGCGATCGTAACGTGCCGCCTTAATCGACAAGCTCCTGCCAAGAACAACGTCGCCAGCTGCAACGTGCGTACATAGAGTACAGGAACCACCGGCCATCATTGTCATGCAGTGCGGATATTCTTGAATACGACGGCAGGCTTGGACACGACAGCATGTTTTCGGTACGCATTTGAGCAAACGTGAGGAACTGGCAGCATGCATTCGGCACGCCGGCATTTGAGCAAACCTGAGGAACCTGAGCAAACCTGAGGAACTGGGGGCACCAAAAAAAAAGAGCTGCAACGTGCGTGTTGCGCTATCCATGTCCCGTGCACCCTCACTCCTTTGTCGTCGCCACCCAGCATTTCGAGCCATCATGTCCTGCCTGGATCCCGCGCTCTGAAGTGCTACCACCGGCCTTGAGGTCCATGCCCAAATCGACCACGAACACGCAAGCAGAGAGAGAGAGAGAGAGAAGAACAAACAAACAAACAAACAAACATAGGCAGGCAGCGAGGAAACCTCGGGGGGGCCATTAGGAAACCGTGTTGGCCGCGGTGCCCCCGAGCCCCACCCCCCTGATGGCCCCTCGGAGGACTTCCAAAGGCCCCCGGAGCTGTGGAAGGGGGGAAACGGTCAAGGACTACCTGAGCCTCAACCGCCCTAGACCCGCAAGACAGAGGCTATGACTGTGAGGTGCTCCCTGCGAGACATTGCACGCTCTGTTTGGTCAGCGGCGCGGGCGAGCGCACAGCGCGCTCGAGCAGCTGGCGGGCCGCGCCAGGAATGGTACAACCGGACCTAGGCCGGAAGAGCATCCCTCAAGAACACGAGACCCATCGCCGGCCAAAACACGCAGAGAACAGTCGAGGGTGCCCTCCCGCAGGGTGCACAAGGGCATCCCACAATCCCGAAGCACACCGGGGCACCCTCCCCGAACCGACCTCCATCTCATGCCTCGGTCCGACTGTGCACACAGGAGCAGCCCCGAGGGCCACAGGCGACCCCTGAGGCCCCTCGGCCACGCCGCGGGGGCGCCCCCGCCCCCCGCGCGCCCGGACGAGCCCCCTCCCGCCGCGCTGCGCACCGCCTCGGCAGCCGCCTGGAAGGGCAAGGCTCGGAGCGCAGGCCAGGACCCCCACTCACGGAGCATCGTTCCACCCAGAGAGGCCTCCTGGATGGGGTCGGAGGATCGCGCCGAATCGCCGATGTATCGGCGCCGTCGGCGTGGAAAAGATCGGGCTCCACATCGAGCCGCTGCATCGGCGAACATCACTGCTGACCCGGCCTCGCTTCCGCGATGCGGCGCGATCCATCCTCGGACCCCATCTTCTCCGACCCCATCTAGGAGGCCTAGAGCCCGACCCATCCCTGTCCCCGAAGAGGAGCTCTGGAACAAGACCGAACATCACTGCTGACCGGGCCTCGCTTCCTGACGCTCCGGCGCTCCGGCGCCGCACCCGCAGCACCCTAATTAGATGGTGCCCATGTGCGGGCGCGCTTCGTGCTTCGTGCTTCGTGCCTCGTGCTCCGTGCTTCGTCTCCCCACTGGCGTGGCCCGGGCCCCACTGGCCGATCCACCCCCCGGGAGGGGGACGCACGCGCTGCTTCCTCCGGCTCTCCAGGGGCACACCCCCTGACCGGGATGGGGTGCTGGGGCTGAGGTGCCACGGCCCGGTGGGGATGGGGAGACACACTGCACGATGCGGAGGACACTGCTCGGATTTGGACGCCCGAAATGGGTACGGAAAGAATGGGCACTATGCCCAACAACAAATGTTGTCCCAAGCCAACAGCGGCCGCTGTTGGGCAGGCGGCCTCCTGTCTCGAATGGACACAGGCCGCGGCGGCGTGGACAGCAAGCCCTGTTCAAAATGAACAAGATCCGCTGTTGGGCATTGTACCCATTCTTTCGGTACCCATTTCGGGCGTCCAGAGCCACGGCCCGGTGGGGATGGGGAGACTCTCTGCACGATGCGGAGGACACTGCTCGGAGAGCCGGCCAGCACCCCCGCTCACGGCCTGGCCTGGTGTCGAAGTGGTGCGCAGCATCGAACGTCGTGACGCTCCAGGGGCCTCTCGGGGGCGTCCCAGGGGCTTCTTGGAGACCTCTTGGGGCCCTCTTGGGGCCTCTTGGGGCCTCTCTTGGGGTTTGTTGGGGGCCTCCAGGGGGCCTCTGAGGGCCTCCTGGGGGCCTCTTAAGCCGAAAGCTCGAAATGTTCCTGGCCTGGTGGGGTGGGGCCCGCAGCCCGGGGCCCGCTCGCCAGCCTGCCTGCCTGCACGGCGGGCCCCGTCCAGGCCGCCCTCCCACCTGCGGCCCGGCGCTCCGATCCAGGCCAGGCGGGGAGGAGGATGAGGAGGGGGATCAGGAGGGGCAGGAGGGGGAGGATGATGAGGATGAGGATGAGGATGAGGATGAGGATGAGGATGAGGAGGAGGAGGAGGAGGAGGAGGAGGAGGAGGAGGAGGAGGAGGAGGAGGAGGGAGAGGGCTCCGGGGACGTGGCTCACGGCAGGGCTCTAAACAGACAGGCTCGTTCCACTGCTCGCAGAGTAACTGCTCGCAAACGGTCTGGATCCGCCATGGGGGATTTACGACACATCACATCGATGTAGACATTTGCGTTTTCGGACGTTTGCGAGTAGGCATTTTGCGAGTAGTGGAACGCGCTAGGTGACCAAAGCCCGAACGGCGGCACAGGTGCAAAGAAATAAAACGGGGCTCACGCGAGATGACACAGCGACCTCACGCGGCGGCTTGCGCGGGCCGCCAGCGCGGCACGCCGCATTGGAAACGAGCACGCTTGCGCGCGGCCTTA